CCCCCCCCCTTTCTTCTAGGGCCCGGCGCGACACCAACGCCACCTGGTGGCGGCTCTGTATCCGTGTGCACTTCCCCCTCCCTGCCCCCTCACACAGACACACACACACACATACACATACACGCACTAACACATAGTGGATTAGAACCGGCCTACTATATCTACTCTTTTGCATTCATAGTACAATTATATATACATAAAGCAGCATTTTATATAAAAATATGTATCTATATGTTACTTCTATGTATCTACTTTAAAACCCACTTTGAATTTTTTAAATTCATCGTACCAGTCAAAAGTTATAAGAAAATCTTTTCACGCGGCGACTCTAATGTTCGTGAACAGCGCGGTGCCGATGCAGGCGCGGCGCGGCATAAACACTCATCGCGCTCGTACGCGAAAACGGCTACAGTTAGCGAAAAAATGATAAGAACAAAAATTGTTGCAAATTTCGCGTAGATTATTTTATTACTATACTATTTTTGCCGTAAAATGCACCAGAGACGAAATATAGCAAAAAAACTCAGTTTTCACGCCATTTTTTCAAAATAGCGGCGTTAGCGCCGTAGTTAGGAGGGGGCAAAGTGAAAATTCGAAATGAGCACATCAAAATCTGTAAGAATCACCTAAAAAAAAAACTTCCGCGAAATTTTTGCAAAACAGCCGTTTTTGATACCGTTTTCCTGGACTATGAATACAATCAATATAAATTTAAGGCTAATAAGCCATTTTTCTTTGAGACAGGCCTGCCACGTTCTTACTAGACAGATTGTATATGAACTTACAAATTATTTCTACTCTGTAAATCTTATAGAATGAATATTTAGCTTATGTTCGAGTGATTTGTCATTCTACTAAGGGACAAAATTTACTCTTATAATACTAAATAGGAGTCCTCTCTAGAAATTCTATTCAATCCTAATTGTAAATCATATTAGAGTGTTAAATCATTCGAACATTGCACAGGTTGTGTGAATTTTTATCTTTTAAAGTAATGTTTCACTCTATGAGATTTAGATAGTAAATCAATCTATTAGAAAAAGTTGCATATGCATGTATTTTCCTAATTTTTTAACTTTGTATCATTCCAATATAGATTCTAAAGTTAACATCCTTCCTAATAAAACAAATGTAGAAGTTTCGGAAATGCTTTCTAAAGATATAACTTCATTAAAAGATGTGGTTAAAGGTGATTAGTATTCTTTTATGATGATAAGTTATATGAAATCAATAAATTATTTTTGTTCATTATTGGTGAATTCTATTAATATTTTGATTGTTTCTTCAGCTGTAACATATCTTTATGTCGCCATAAAAAAGTTAACAGTTGCAATACATTTTTTGAAAAATGATATTCAAGCAATGAACTGTTGCACGTTCGACGCTTACCAAAAATGCTCAAATTTCAACTGCAGCCTTTATTGAAAAATACAACTTTTCCAAAATTCAATCTGCTGAAGAATTTAAAAAATTTGATTTAGAGTTACAAACAAGTGATGAATTTGCGAAGGATTTCGTAAGTATATGCTTTGACATAATAATTTTTTGTTTAATTTATATTACACTTATTTTACAGAAAGATGCACTGGAACATTTGATAGGGTCAAATATGAAGCAATCTATAATCGCTATTGTGAAAAAAT